CTATGGATAGATGGAATGCAGAGGTCAACCACCTACAAAACGACACCTACAAACCGACAGACAGGCGAGGGGACGTATGGAAGAGCGGATGCAAAGACAGACAGCCAGCCAGATAGACAGACAGAGAGACAGCCAGACAGATAGCTCAGAATGTTGATGACAGAACTGCTTAATCTTTCACCAAGTTTATCTCTGCTTTCCCTACAACCTGACAACACTTCAGACTCGAACCCCGCCCCTGAGGTCGTTCACCTGAACCAGTCAGCCAACATATCAGCCCTGTACCACCGCCAGATTTTCAACGCCAGCAGTTTGTTCCTGTAAGTATCCGATTTTCCTGGTGTGCACCTCATGCCCTGTCAAAACAGCTGTCTACCTGTCAAAACAGTTGTCTACCTGTCAAAACGAGGCTGTACTGTGTTTGTTTTTAATTATTATCATAATCGTCCTCATCATCTAGTATCTTGCATAGTCCGTTCCAAAATTCGTGCTCAAATTTAAAAATATGTAACTCAGTAACCATTGGGTATACATTGTGGAATTATGGCATGCAACCAGGTAATAACCATTCCTTGTTGGACAATGATTATAACGTGAACAAACCCCTACTTTTTATTTTGCCTTTTATGCGGTATATGGGGCGGAAAAAAACAAACGTATCCTGATTCACAGCACACAGTTAACCACTACCCTATAAAGCTTTTTATAAGGCCGTCCAGGTCACTGGAAATTCCCGTTTGTGTTTAACTTTGAGAGGCCGGTGTGTTTTCACTATGTTTATCGTGTAAGTGTGTACTAAAATTAAAGCACGGTTTCATTCATTTGCAACAGGTATTTTTTTTAATATTATTATCATTTCGAAGATAAATTAGTGTGCTACATATTATTTTTTATTATTATAATATGTTCTAATAGTACACTCATTTATCTTCAAAATGGTAATTTAAAAAAAAAAATGTTTTACAAATTAATGAAACTAGTTTAATTTGTGAATAAATCTACTTGATAAACATAGTGCACACACACCGGTCTCTCGCACACACAAAATGGGAAATATCCATTTACCTGGATGGTCTTGTAAACAGCCATAGTGGGCCATGCAATTAACGTGTTTACAGTAATTTGTCAAAACACGAAATTGCACTTATGTTAGAGGTAAGACGTGCACGGCGCACTTTTTTGGGATAGGGAACTGGATACGTCAAGTACTGCCATAATCGAATTAACATTATTGTACTTCAGTTTATTTGCGTTAAACGGTCACGTTGTCATTCTCCTCCAATAGCCTCCTGTGAATTACATGGACACCATATTTCGTTGTATGTCGAAAAGGCTACAAAAATAATAGTACCACGCATCGCTGCACACATGAAATGATTTTTAAAATAATCTTCAAGCTTACTGTTTAGAGTAAACGATATATGTCAATTTATGTATATTCTGTTTGATAGGGATATTAGAATTATTAGTCCGATAAAGAGCACATAAAGTCGCTGTTTAAAGAAAAACAGAGGAGCGGTTGGCCGAGTTGTTGCAACGTGGGACTCTCATACAAGAGACCCAGGCTCGAACCCCGTGTAAGGTGACAGAGTTTTTTTTTTTTTTTTTTGGGGGGGGGGGTAAAAATTAAACATATAAACCTGTACAGTCCATGGCGGCAGCAGCAACCATGCTGCAACTAATCCTCATGTTCAAGGCCTGCTATATCTACCGCCCTAAAAAACGACAATAGCACATGTGTAATTGTAAATTCTATAATAATAATAAGGATATCGGAAATCTTAGACCGCTCGTAAAGAAGTCGTGTTGATGACATGGGACATGAGTTCTCTAGACATTTGTTAGAATTTAAGCAAACAAATTACAGTAAGCGGAATCTTCAATGATAAACTTTGCTATTTTTAATCAAGAATTTTAAATCAAGAATGAAACAATATTTCGAAAGGTGCAGTGCGACACGGTTTGTTCATTATCCATATTTCTGAATAATGGACCAGACAAGAATTAAGGAATACTTAAGCTTACCGGTGTACTCAACAAAGTCTTCTTGTGAAAGATATATAAAATGCACACATGCGTCCTTAAAGATAGAAAGATATACTTTTGTCTGCAAATCCCGACGTACTGGGTTTAAGTCCGCATCTAGGGGACGTTTCATAAATGACCTTGACTCTCAAGTAAATCCAGCCTAAAAATGGATAGCAGAAGATTTCGTCGGAAAGTAAAGTCAGATCAACTTGAAGAAGCAGTTCTAGCAGGGAATCAGTGGCGTTAAAACAAAAATCATACAAAATTCAATTTTAAAGATAGGACTCTCAAATTTTTAGACATAATGGCAATGTGATCAGGCTATCATATAAATCACATTTTTTGGAATTCAATATATACATGTGGGAAATTAATTTTTTTAATGAAAAAATTAATTTTAAAATATGCAAAATATAGATGTTATTTTGGAAATATTTGAAGGGAAATGGTAGAGCAAAATTACTTCAAAATTTAACTGCACATACCAAAATGGTGTGCGTGTAGCCTTTTCTATAGAAAACAGTACACATTAAATATATTTTATGTAAAGCTACCTGAAATTTGTCTTTTTGTGTGTGTGTGTGTGTGCGTGGAAAATTACAATTTTGAAATAACATAAAAATTAACACAATCATGATATTGACATTTCCATAGAATACACTACAGCCAGTAGTGAAAAAAAAATGAAAAAAAAATGTAACAGTTTACAAAGAACGACGTTAATTTTTGTGTGAAAATAGTCTAGATTTTTACCTCAGTGACTCCCTGTCAAAAAAGGAAAGCCTTCGGATTGATCTTGTACCTCCTCTAATCCAAGTCGCTTCCTCCTTCTTGCACTTCTCGCTTCCAATGATGCTTCTGTTGCTTTCTTCTGAGAGTTTTTCAGCCGTAACGTGTCAGTAGAGATGAAACATTCTGACGTGAAACTTCCACACAATAGTTGCATTGCCACCAGGGGTGCTTCTAGGGATTTTGCTTCTTCATTGAAAATGAGTACTGCAATGCTAACTGCAATCTTAACAGCTACTAATCCAAGGTACTTGTGTTTGAGGCAATGTAGCCAAATTGTGCTGTTGATTGATTCGTTAGCGTCCTGGGTGTAGCCATCTAGACATTTTCTCAACAGGTCAGGGTTCGAGAGATCTCTGAAAACTGGCTTGATAACATCCATAACATAAGCTGCAGCAGGGTATTTACATGTGTATAATCCTTTTCTGTGTTGGTAGCAACAGCTATTTTATATTGGCAGCCAACTAATTTTGTAGAGAATGTGAACAAACTTTTGATCCGTGGATAGTTTGTGAAAATATATCGCCCAAACAGCCTCTTGCATTCCTTTCAAGTCAATCGTATTACCTCTAATTGCATTCTCATAATGGTTCTGCATAGAATCAAACTGTGTGTCCGTAAGCCTTTCCATTCCACCAATATTCTTCCCACCTGACAGTTTCTTTCCCTCCCCCCCCCCCCCCCCCCCCAAAAAAAAAAATTCTTGATCTTGCGTAGTCGGGTTCCCATTCTTTTTTTTTTCCACGTGCCCGACACATTTTATCTTCACAACAGGCGTATCACCGTATGGCTGTGAATCAGACACTGTTTTAAAGCTGTTTGTGACACCATCTCCAATTAAGAGTGTGTATCTCAGCTCATATCTTTCAACTGATGTGGAAAATAATTCTTTAGCGATTGTTGCTTCCACACCTCGGGATGAACCATTATGTGTAGATGTACACTGTGATTGTTGCTTCCATACCTCGGGATGAACCATTATGTGTACATGTACACTGTGATTGTTGCTTCCATACCTCGGGATGAACCATTATGTGTACATGTACACTGTGATTGTTGCTTTCATACCTCCGGATGAACCATTATGTGTAGATGTACACTGTAATTGTTGCTTCCATACCTCGGGATGAACCATTATGTGTACATGTACACTGTGATTGTTGCTTCCATACCTCCGGATGAACCATTATGTGTACATGTACACTATGATTGTTGCTTCCATACCTCCGGATGAACCATTATGTGTACATGTACACTGTGATTGTTGCTTCCATACCTCCGGATGAACCATTATGTGTAGATGTACACTGTGATTGTTGCTTCCATACCTCCGGATGAACCATTATGTCTAAATGTACACTTTGATTGGTGATTTTGTTTCCACAACTCATAAGCTTCTGCATCCTTGTCTTGAGTGTTCCAGTAGTCACTACACTAGCATCGATAGAGTGCCGACTGATCAGTACTTATATGGATTTGATGCTGATCAAGTGTGGTCCTATTCGATCTTCTAGAAGCGGACATAATGATCAAGCAGTCCTTCTTAGCCATCATTGTGTCTCACACGAAGACTAGGCAGTACACATACACCCAGATATCATTATCTTACCTTTCATTTGCTGTAAACGCCTGCGAAAAAATTGTGTTATCTCGGCTACATCTACACTTTGGCCTTGTCGCTGAACTAGAGTTTTGCGTGCATATCAGTTTTACATATTCGGCTAAGTTGTATGGCGGAAATGTTTATTCTCTCCTCCCAAGCAGATGCACTCATACTTCGAAAGTAAACATCCATAATTAGTCGACTTTTACGACATGCTTGCTAGGGGAGCACTGCGTCTGTTCTCTCCGCACCGCGACTCAAAATGGGTCTCTGAAATACATATAGAGAAGTACCAAAACATGAGGAAGGTCAGGTGTGACTTCATAAATTTTATTAAAATGTGTCCTCCAGTAATGTTTGAAGGACGTACTCTGCACTCTGAGGTCCCAGTTGATACCTTTACTTGAACAGACCAGGTGTTCAATACACCAGCTAGATAACAAAGTGAAGTGTGATATAATTACTTATTTAATAAACTCGTGTTCTTTAATTGTGACTGAGTCCGTATTTGGGAGCCGAATGCTGAACTCCCAAACCACTCCGTATAGTTTCAACATATGAAACCCAACAAAGTTTGCTTATGTCAACATATGAAACCCAACAAAGTTTGCTTATGTCAACATATAAAACCCAACAAAGTTTGCTTATGTCAACATATGAAACCCAACAAAATTTGCTTATGTCACCATATGAAACCCAACAAAGTTTGCTTATGTCAACATATGAAACCCAACAAAGTTTGCTTATGTCAACATATGAAACCCAACAAGGTTTGCTTATGTCAACATATGAAACCCAACAAAGTTTGCTTATGACAACATTTGAAACCCAACAAAGTTTGCTTATGTCAATATATGAAACCCAACAAAGTTTGCTTATGTCAACATTTGAAACCCAACAAAGTTTGCTTATGTCAACATATGAAACCCAACAAAGTTTGCTTATGTCAACATATGAAACCCAACAAAGTTTGCTTATGTCAACATATGAAACCCAACAAAGTTTGCTTATGTCAACATAAATAGAAAATCTATGCCATAACATAGCGAGTTACCACAATTTGCAACAATTTGTGAATGTAAAGTCTCAGATCACACGACGCCCTGCCTAGCTGCGTATCGATCTACCCTCTATGAAGACAGCCAACTTCTGCATATGGCCTCAGGTCGATACTCTTCCAATCTCACACGTTCTTTCCGTTCTGCAAGTGTGTTTTTGAACTCGTGCCAACATTGAAGTCAGCGAATCCTCGGAGGCGTGTTGCTACCATACACATCGACCCAGCGATACAACAGTAGCTACCACACACATCGACCAGTGAGTCATTCAAAAGTAGCCACCACACTCATCGACAAGTGATTCAACAGTTACTGCCACACACATCGACCAGTGAGTCATTCAAAAGTAGCTACCACACCTATTGACCAGTGATTAACCAGAAGCCACCGCACCTATCGATTCAAAAGTTGCTACCACGCCAATCGTTCAGTGATTTAAAATTTGCTACCACGCCGATCGTCCAGTGATTCAAAAGTTGCTACCACGCTAATCGTCCAGTGATTCGACAGTTGCTACCACGCCAATCGTCCAGTGATTCAAGTTGCTACCACGCCAATCGTCCAGTGATTCAACAGTTGCTACCACGCCAATCATCCAGTGATTCAACAGTTGCTACCACGTCAATCGTCCAGTGATTCAACAGTTGCTACCACGCCAATCGACCAGTGATTCAACAGTATCTACCACATTCATCGACCAGTGATTCAATATTAGCTTTAATTTGCTTCAGACAAGTACCATTCAACCCGATAGGTAGCGGACTAGACAGCAACAACTGGTTATCCAAATAATGTGGTGGCTGACACTGTTTTTTTCATGATGATATATGATATGTCTGGTCTGATGTCGCACTGGGCACAAAGTTGTACTCAAACATTTTTTTAGTATAACATATCATTACAAGAACACATACATTTCATTTCAAAATTGTTTGTCGTCGCCCTTGAAACTTCCTTGCGCCGCCAAGTTTGAAAATCATCATTTTAGACAATTATCATTTGGCTACATAGTAAATCCGTCATCTGGCAAGTCAACTGTTAAACTAGCCCTTTATTAGATATAGGGAGCCGCCGTGGTGTAGCGATTAGCAGCTCACCTGTGGATCGGAGGGACGTAGGTTCAAATCCTCACGGTATTTGTCTTTTTCTTTAAAAGATGAATTTGGCTCCCAGGTCGACCCAGCCTTGAGTGGTTAGCAGGTAGAGTACTGGGAAGTAAAGGCGGCTGGCGTGAGGCTGGCCACATCACTCACCAAGTGTCGATTGGTCTATAGGATATAGGTCTAGAACTATATGCCAAATACACCTGAAGGCATGAAAAAGGGTACCTTCAATGTTTGTCAACAAATACCATTTGGGGTCTCATGTATTTGCTGAGCCGGGAAAAGGCTTTGCTTTAACCCGTTCGCACCATATACAGAAAATAAAATCACAAGAGACCCTGTCTACAGAGATTAGAGCCTCACACGTGATCACTACTGATGGAAAGTTGCCCGCCAAATCAACAATCATGTTATCGATTTTAGAATGTTTGTGCGCAGCGCGACTCGATGTTATTGGTAGAATGCCAATCACGTTTGGCGGTCAGAACACACTGACAAACTCACAAATGTTCGTCCACTAATCAACAAATGGAGACGAGACCAGGCTTTGGTGAAGGGGGAAAGAAAAACTCTGTCCAGTGCTGGGATGTCGGGGTTAGTCCGGGCGTGGGGGAATGAATTCCTATAGATCAGAGAGAGGCCACCGTTTTCCCGAGAAGAAACTACAGACACGGGAGAGATCGATAATTAAGAGAAGAATTTAGAGGAGAGGTGGGGAGCTCTAGTTGAGTAAGATAAGAGATAGTAACATTAGCATCGATTGCGAGGAAATTAGATAAGGCACAGTTATAAATAATCGATACAATTCACTACCAGTAAAATACACACGAATGGCTGAAGTTGGAAAGAGTATTTATTGACAACCGTGTTGGGATAATTACACAACATAGGTAGTTTGTTCCTCGCACTGGAGGAATGCGCAGTTACGGCAGAATATTAACATCATCAGGTGTCACGTCGATAAACAGATATGGTTCGTTAGCTCATAGGACTTGTATTCTTACCCAACGGTTTCCGTGTTGCCAAGCCAGTCAGTTTATTTTCCTCTGATTCTGTTTCCATCAAGTTTACCAGTTGTCCCCAAGTTTCCGATTTCAACTCTTATCGTTAGATGCCTCAGAAGTTTGACTGTCTACCTGTTTTGTCCGTGTGTAATCAGCTAAGGAGTTTTGTCTTGAACTGTGCTAGCTTTAAAGGACTAGCACAGTTACTTTCTGACTACTAGACATATATATATATATATATATATATATATACACACACACACACACACACACTCAGTTTTTCTTGTTCCTGCAGTTTCTTCACAAACCAAATTGTTATTTGTTGTTAATATAACAGGCTGGTTGAGGTTGTCAGCATGTTAATGGTTATAGCTTTGGCTGCACTTGGCAGACTCAAACTGGCAGGTTTGCAGAAGGGAAATCTCCAGAAGTGGCCAGCGAATCGAAAAAATTATATAAAGTTCAGCGCAGGAGAAAGAGCTTCACATCCACGTACCTAACACACCTCCCGTCCTTTTTAGGATGACATTCTTCGTTTTCTGAAGCCCTACTCTGGCTTTTGCCAGGGGCCGCAATATAGCCTGGCCATAAATATGGCATATAGGCTGAACGCGGTTTCTAGGACCTGTAAACGGTGATCCTCATTCACATGTTGGCACATTGTGTCATCAGGTGTTTATCGCTTGTGTGATGTCCTAGTGAGACTAGAAACATGAAGCCCCGAATTTTCGTTGCAGGATCAACATGGTTCTAGCGCAACGTAGGTTTAGGGGGGCTGAGTCGAGAGATGTTTCGTGTTGTGGCGGTTCGTTCAGTAGGACCTGGACTGTGAAGCGCATTTTCGCCGGAGATTTTCATTTTTGTTCATTTCATCTTTGTTAGTTATAGTGCTTTACACATGTTCTTTTCAAACCCGTGTTGATTTGTAATGTTTTGTTATCTGCGAAGCACATTAGTTTTGTGTTTAGGAAAAAAAAAACAGATGACTATATTTCATTTGTTTTATTCAGAATAGGACTTGTAATTCGTGCATGTGGTCTGTCTATACCAGTCGTCGGCAAACTCATTAGACAAAAGAGACAAAAACCAACAGCAGGACGATTGAAAAAATGTTTGTTAGAGCCAAATGCCTTTTCAAGAACCCATCAAAAACCATGCTTTTCGGAGTCCAAATCGATTTGTGGTTTACTAGCCGATTAGCATTTAGGTCGCTAAAGAGCCGCATGAGTTCCCGAGCCGCGATTTGCTGATTACTGGTCTAGACTCCTCCTATATATCTATATGCTCTTGATGCTGTTGTTTAATTCAGTATTCACATACTCGTCGCCTGGGCCATGAAGAATATTTCATAGTCCCTGCACCTGAAGAACCCTTGTCTTCTTTATTTTTCCTGTTTTTGCAGTTCTAACCATATTTCTTGTCTCGTCTCCCTCCTTTTTTGTTCCTTTTTCACTTCCAGCTGGCGCATTAAGTGTTTCTTCGATTGGGTTCCGAGGTCCCATTTTTAGGGGAGGGGTTTGAGTGATAGACACTGCTCTCCCACCCCCGCCTCGCAGCAAGCCTGTCGTAAAAGGCGAGTGATTATGGATATTTCTTTGTAATTTAAGTGTCACTATTGTAAGAGAAGTGCTCAAAACAAAAGGTTATTAAAAAAAAGGTTTATTGTAGCTTTCTGTTTTTCTAAATTCTTATATAAAAATCCTCATTCTGGATGCTGCGATACCTATTGTGTTGTTACTTTCTTGGTCAACCAACAGTTTGTTATTCACTGGGGTATGTAAAAATGTCACATATTATATACCTATATTGTTGAATTAAAAAAAAAAAAAAGACTCTTTATTGGAATGTGTTTTAACAAAGTTTTACAGTATAATAGTACAGATACAGTTTCGCCTCCTAAATTAAAAAAATACGCACTGTATACCTTGTGTTTTGCACCTTTCCTTTGAACGTCGGCATTTCCCACCTGAGCTCCAGAAGAACACAGATTACCTTCCAAGTCAAACTGGAGATTCTGTTTCTAGACACTAGGTGTGCCAAAAATAAGTCGTTAATTTCAATTTCGTGTCTTTGAAGTGAAAAAGTATGTCGCTGTCAGCCGTGAGTGTCGCTACCACCCGCTGTTGGCAGTATTGTGGCGACCACCACCCGTCCACGAGCTACTCGGGGGGGAGGGGGAGGGGGGTTGGTCAATTGTGTCTGAGTGTTATACTCAGCGGTCACGCTCCGGATGTTATCGACATAGCTGTCTTCCCTGAAGACTTGTGTCTGTTATAGGACCCTTCTCCATGACTGTAAGCGTATTGGGCACCTAGGGTTGCTTTTATTTTATAAACCAGTCAGCACTCGGTGGGTAATTTGGTCAACGTCACGCCGGCCGCCTTTACTTTCCTTGACTGCTTGGTACCCATTTAAGACTGTCGACCTAGAAGCCGAGGTCATTTCTGATAAAATATCCGGTTTCGTCAGGACGTGAACCCGCAACGTTAGGATCCACAGGTGAGCGTCTAGCCGCTAGACCAGGCCAGCTTCCACTTTTGTCTTTTTCTGTTAGACAATTGTATTGTTTTTGATGTCTCGTTTTGTAAATGTATGTTTTATAGCTATAATTATTTGTATTACCTAGTGAAACTTCTAAGATATTTTTTAAAAGAGTGCATTTTAAAGTGAGGCTTTGTGGTCTCGTGGCATGGTCTACGCCTCCAGGGCAGGAGGTCCCGGGAAGAAGCCGAAAGAGAAGGAGAAGTAGGATGGTATACCGAAGAACAAAACAATAACAATATTATGTTATTGTCACTGCGCACATAGCGCATACCAAAATACGCGAATTCATAATACCAGGTACATGAAGATAAT